TTTGAGCCTACAATTCTGTTACATTAGTGCCTTCATGGTTGACCCCCCTTTATTCTATAGAGAAACTATGCCGTACACTACAAGGGTTGACAGCTAGATTCTATAGTGGGGCACTTTGCTACCAGAGGTTGGTAGACCGATTTATCACTATAGAATGGCGTTCTCAACCCCCACGCGTTGGTGAAAGGGGTATCCTTATACAATGTGCAAAAATGACAACAGTCGCTCGCTCTGAGAGGCGTTCCCACCAAAAACATGACGCAAGATGACGCAAGTTGTGCCGTTTATTAACAAACAACTTTGTGCCGCTTGCTGCTGGGCTTGCTGGGTTAAATCTTTTGAACAGCTTTGGCGTTATTCATTTATAGCAACCGAGCTTACCTGCCAGCACTGTTTAGGGCAAACAACCGTACTCATGAGACTTGGGTCTGGGGTGCCGAGTTTTAGCCCACATCTCCAATTTTCACACAAAAACTTGGTTTTGTGGTGTTTTCAGCTCCGGTTCATCGGGCTGGGATGTAGCGCGGCAGGGCATTGGCTTTGGACATTGATGATGTTGATCAGTTGCCTTGATTCTTTTTATATAAATCACTCATATCAGTCTCATGGATGTTCATTGTGTTTGGCAATGTTTTTGCAAGCACTTCAAGGCGGGAAAGCATGTTCTCTGAGGAGGTGCCAGGTGCAGCTACACCCCTTGTTTGCGTTTTATTTGTGACCATGAAAATGTTTGGAGCAGATGTCGTAGAGGGAAAAGGCAGAAATGTCGAAGGCAAAAACATAGTTCTAGTTCTAGGTGTCCAAAAAGATGCGTGTCTTAGGAAAGTTTACGACAAATAATATGAACTGCACACCGTTGTTGTGCTCTTTCCTCCAGCTGTTAGATTGCAGGTTTCATCCCCTGTGCACCACGGAAGATGTGCCTGGCCGACAAGCTCCAACTTTCAAAGCTAGCTCAGAAAGTTCGCCAGGCGCCAGCAAAGCAGGAAGAGCATGAACTACACTCCCCAAATCAAACGTACCCCTGGCAGCAGTGAGGACCCAAACTAACATATCCCAAACCTCTCCGGTGTTTCCTGGGGAATTGCATGTAACTTTTGCTTTTCGGTAGCTTCAAGAAAAGGTCCAAAAACATTGCTAACCTGGCCTGGGGCAACCATGAATATTGCAATTTTGGTCAAAACCGTGACCATTTTACAAACATATCCTCGTCCCAGACACCAGTTGTGCCAGTTCAGAGTCATGAAACTTGTCAAAATGTCCCCCAGCATCCACTAACATGGCCGTTTCCATTTTTGACTTATCCCTGCGGAATCTTGCTAACATATCCTCCTCACAGACACCACTTGTGCCCTTTCAACATCTTTCGACTAACGTTGCCAAAAAAAAGATCCACTTTACGGGGTTACGTTTGATTTGGGGAGAGTAAAGCAGGAAACCATATGGAACATGTTCTTGCGTTTGACTGAAATACTCGAAGTTGACATTCTGAGCGAACGTGAGCAACTGGACTGGGTGTATACCAACGCAGCTAAGGGGTTGGCAGGTTTGAATCACTCTTTGTCGTTTGGAGGCCAAGGATCGGGCCTCCCGCAGCGCGAAGCCTGGCATCCATTTCTATGGAGTGAAATTGGTGCCTTGAGATGGTTGGTCAAATGATGTCAAACATGAAACGAGCTTCAAATTGGGTGCCCCTGTTGTAATTCACTGACTCCTTCTTGACATCAATTGAAATCCTTTTGTTGAATTCACGTGATTCCTTGTGAAGACAGTTGAGGTTTCCTGAATTTTCCTGGTTTGATAAACGTTCGGTGTCCTGTGAACAGTGTGCACAAATGGCTTGAAAAGTTTACAAAGGATACAGATGCCTCTCATAAGCCAATCACACTTCCACAACCCAACTTTTCTGACCTTCATGGAGGATTATCCGGCGTTTGTATGAGCCCTTGCAAATCAAAGTGCGCTGATCAGGTTCATATCTCGTGGCCGGATGCTGATGACTTGCTAAGCAATGCCTTGGAATTTGACAACGAGGTTGAAGGACCCTGGCCTTTAGGACGACGTGCTGCCTTGCAGATCAGGTGCACAGGGTTATTTGCTTCTCTATGTACACTTTGAAAGTGGCATGAAAGAGAAACGCTTCTTATATATATATATATATATTGTACAGTGTCGACAGCTCGCTTTCTCCGGTCCGGCTGTCAGGTGGATCAGCGACCACATCCAGTTTCGAATACTTCCTTACGAACTGGCACATGCTGACATGATGGGGATCGGTCCAATACCTCCCATCACAAAGACGCCACAGGTCTTGACAGTAGATGCTTCAAACAAGCCGGCAGAGTGTTTTATGTTTATGATTTTTTGGGTGTGCTTGTTGTTTGTTTTCAATAAGTCCTTACAAAGACATGGTGTGCTATGGGATCATGGGATCGAGGTCGACATCACAGATGACCCGATGTCCGACTGTCCAACCCTCCCAGCTTGCGTTGCAAAGCCTTTATGAATGCGCGCCGCATACTCTGTCTCATACTCCCATTCAGCCAATACTAGCGAAATTACATGTACAAGCCAGGATGAAGGCACCCAACTGCAAAGCTGAAATAAACTTTCCAAATGTGGCAAACCTCTTCCTGATTTAGGAGGACATCCATTGGGTTGTTGCTGTAAAAGATGACGCGCATCCTCTCTTCTAGGTCACTCCACTCTCTGAACTTGATATTGCGTTCACTCGGGCAAAGCCAGACGTGGTAAATTACCTTTCAGGTGGGGAAAGACCCTGGGG